CGCAGCATGCGGGCCGAGCTGGCAGACAGCCCGTGACGGGCGCATAGTTCGTCCCAGATCGCCCCCTGCCGTCCACGGCACCGTCATGTAGCCCACAGGAGTGGCGAGGCGGGCGTAGGAGCAATAAAGGCTGAGGCCCCGGCAAGATGCAGCCGCACCGCCCTTCAGTTATAGCGGTTGAGGTCCTAGGCCAACCAAGCGAGGGGCCCCCCCTTTCCCGGCGAGCGGCCACTCATGAGTCAGACGTCGACCCCCCCGACTCGGAGGTCGACGATGCTCTGTGAGACGACGGCGAGGACCCCGACGCCCGCGACGATGAGCCCGAGGAGCTTTCGACCGCCTCGCTGCATCCCTGGAGGCCGGCCGGGAAGCAACGTCTGCAGAAGGCCGCCCCCCCCCCCCCAGAGCCGATAGCCGAAAGAATTAACTGGCGTCCTGCATAGGGCCAGCCGCAGCCCAGGGCTCGCCATGCCGCCCGGTCGGAGTTGTGCTCCTCCGGGTCCGGCTTATGTACCCGCCGCGTCCGGGCGAGATAGATGTAATGGTCGGGGCGGACAGCCGGGACGAACTCGACTCGTGGGAGTCCGGCCCCAGCCGGTACGCCCGGCTGGTCCGACCCCTGTTCCTGCGCCGGTTCCGGGGCAGCCAACTGCGCCCCTTCCCCCGCACCCGGCTGACCCGGATCGGCCGGCGCGTCTGCCAGGGCGAGCGGGACGGCCAACTGCATCCCGCCCCCCAGGTGACCAAGCCCGGCGGTCCCAGCCGGCGCCGATGGAGCAAGGGCCAGCGGCGCCGACTGGGTGTATCTCTCGATGGCCCTGGACGACCATCTGCCGAGCAGCTGTATGACTGCCATCGGGATGCCCCTGGACGCCAGGAACGTCGCCCCGGCGACCCGGCAGGTGTGTCCCCCGAACGTCTGCCGCTCCACCCCGGCGGAGTCGCGGTAGACCGTCTCCAGGCCCGCCGCTTCCAGGACGCCCCGAAATAACGTCAACGAATCGTCCTTGGACCGAGTGGCTCCCCCCCCTCCAAGGAACAGCGGCCCGGACGAGGCAAGGAGGCCGGCCGCCCCCAGTCGGGTCAGGTGTCTCATAGCCGCGTGCATTGGGCACAACGGGTGCCGCGTTGCGCCACAGGCGCACCTCAAGGACCGGCGGGTGAGCGTCCTCTCGCCCCCCGTGGCGGTCTTGTGCAACGGCAAGTCGAGGACGACGAGGCCGGGCGAAACAATCATGTCGCCGACCCTGGCGGCCGCCACCTCGATCTCGCGGAGCATGAACCAGACGGCCACAACGAAAACGTCGGTGGAGTGCGCCGCCCTGTTCGGGTCAAAAGCGGCCCTGTCGGCGTAGTCGACCAGCGGTGCAAGGGCCGGGAGCGGGAACGCCTCCTTGAGGCGAGACCCCGGCAGCCCCCGGACGATGGCCTTGATGACCCGATTTGCGAAGCGGCGAAGCAAAGGGTCGACCTCGATGCGGAGGTCGTGTTCCTGGTACCTGAAGGCCGCCAGGAAATACTCCTTGGCGCTGCGGTACGCCCCGGCCTGAAAGGCCGCCCCAATCACCTCCAGCGTACGGGTCGTGATGGGCCAGGCGGGCACCTTCCCCTCAAAGGCCAGTCGATTCCACGTGCGCAGCCGCGACTCGTAGGGCCCCTGGTAGACCTGGCGAGCATGTTGTCACGGAGCTCCGTGACGGCCCGCTTGACGTTGGCCGGGCGAACCGCCTCCACGGCGGCGGCCAGGGACGCACGCGCCGCCTCCCGGCGGACGGGCAGGTCCGGTCGAGAAGGCCCAGCCTCGACCAGCGCCAAGGTAGAGGTTTCCTCGGAGGGCGGCGGTGCCGCCAGCATGGCCTCCAGAGCCAACGGAGATACCCCTGCCGCCACCCAGCGGTCGGCGCGGGCGGTGAGATCGGCGATGTTGCGGGCCCCGGCCTGGGCGAGCAACGGTAGCGCCTCGGACTGGCCGGTCCGCTCGGCCAGCGCGACGAGCTCGGCAAAGGAGCCCTGGGGAGGGCCCACGGTGGCGACACTTGAGCCTCTGAGCCGGAAGCCGACAGGCTTGAACCTTCGAGCCGAAGAACCCCTTAAGGAAGCGGGTAGGGCAGGAGAGGGGAAGGGCGGGGCGAGGCGAGGCAGAAGTCACACTCACTCACTCTTTTTCCGGCGGCTCCAGACGAGTCAATATATAGCTCACAAAATGAGGGACCGGGCGCGAGCCCGACCCTGGCGGCAAGCTTAAAAAGACAAGCATGGAGGCCCAGGCGAGGATGTAGTAGGCGGCCCAGGCGTTGATGAGACGGTCCCCGTCCTAGGTGAACCGCTGTGCCGGCGTGGGCGGCGCACAGCGCTGGCATTCGTGGTGCTCGTGAGGGCGGCCCAGCATCGGCGGGTAATTGACCGGCCGCAAGCACCTGGCGCGATCAGGGCAAGGCTGTCCCCGACGATGGCTGCCAGGACATTTCACGAAGCACCAGCCGATCCACTGCGTGAAGTCGGCGGGCGCTCTCTGGGCAGGCGGCCGCCCCTGACGTTGTCAGGCAAGGACCTGACGATCACGCCCGCCGAGGTGTCGGCCGTCCACCCCTGAACGGCGAACGGGATCTCCTTGTGGCGAAGGTCCGCCCCCGGCTCATGGAGCGGGAACCGGAAGGTGTCCCAGGCGCTCAGCCCAGGCGGCCGGCGGCTCTGATTCCTGGTGCCATAGCCCGCCCGGCCGACTCGATCAACAGGCAGGAAGGGCGACGTCGGTGGCGGAGGAACCCCGGCACATGCGGCCGCAAGGGCCCGCCGACGAACCGGTACCCGCGGAGGATGCCGAAGGCGCCGCTGAAGCCATAGTCGACGAGATAGGCGCCGAGGGCGGTGCAGAGGATGCCGCTGAAGATGAGGGCTGCTGCGCCACAGCCGGCGTGGTGACCTCGGGCGGGGGGCGAGTCGGGGCCGCCCGTGCGGGAGGCGCCGTGGTCACTTCAGGCGCTGGCTGTTGACCGCCCAGCTGGGCGCCAAAAGGTTGGCCGACCTCCGTGCCCACCAAGTGCGGCGGTGGCCTCTTGGGCTTGGCCCGCGTCATCCGCCGCCTGGCGCTGCTCCGCCAACTCCCTGGCGATGCTGCTCTCAATGGCGTCCTGGTAGGTGGCGCCGTCGTGCAGCAAGCGCAGGCCCGCCCGACTACGGGCCATCTGTTCCTGGCGGATGAAAGCCGCCCTGCGAAGGTACTCGTCGGAAGGGGCCGGAGCCCCTCCAACCACCTCGGGCGTATCAGCCGCCGCCCCACCGGACGAGGACGATGCCGCCGGCCCACCAGACGTAGTCTCCTGCTTGGGAACCGGCGGGCTCTGAATCGCCGCCGGAGGGCCCACAGGCTTCTGCTCGACGACCTGGCTTTGGTCGTCGAACCGTGGCGGGACCTTCGCCCCGGCGGGGGGCCTCTTCACCGTGGGCTTGGGCTTGGTCGGCGTGTCGTCCAGGAACTTGATGGGCCTGTCGGGGTAGGGCATGGGCGGTGCCTTAGTCGACGAGGTGGCCTGGGCTCGTCGACGACCAGCGCCGGAGGCGGCGCCTTCTTGAAAGGCTTCTTGGGCCCTGGCCCGGGCGCCGACGATGATGACGCCCCTGACGCAGGCGGACCGGACGATGTCTTCGCCTTTGCGGCCGCGTCCTGCTCGTCGAGGAAGAGTTCCAACGACGTGGGCGGCTCGGCGTCGAGGTCATCGTCTGGAACCGGCTTGGCGGCCGCCATCTCCGCCACAGCTGTGGCGTCCTGTTCCTCCCAAAAGGTCCGGGCGGTCGCCGGCGAAGGCCCAGGATCCACAACGACCGTGGGCGCCGGCGTCATCCCAGGCGTGAAGTCGAGGAGGTCCAGCGTAAGCACCGACGAGGAAGAGGGGCCCCCTGCCCCTCCAGTCGGAGCCACATCGACCAAGGGCTGCTCCTCAGCCAGCCTGAGCGCCCCGACGAGGCGATCACGGTCTTCACGCGACAAGGCGCGGATAGCAGTCGCCAGAGCCTCCTGGGAGGTGTCGCCCACGAAGGACGAGAAGATCACCTCGTCGGCGGTCTGAACGGCGACATCGTGAGCGTCGAAGGCGAGAATCGGCGTCACGTGCTCCGTCTGCGCCCCGACCTCGGCGAAGTCTGCGCCCGGGAAGGGCTGGGCCCCGACGATGTCCGCCAACAACTCTTCCTCCTCGTCGCTGGAGGGCGGGACGCCCATGAAAGGCGGTGCCACGTCATCGTCGGCACCAGCGTTCTCGGCAACCCGGCGAAATCCCCAGCCGGTGCGCCCGACGCGGGCTGCCCGGCGCACTCTCCACTGACGCCCAGCGCGGGCACCTCTCCAGGCGAAGAAGCCGAAGGTGGCGGCGACGAGATAGGAGGTGCCACCAAGTCGGAGACCACCACATCGGCGAAGGCGCTAGGCGAGGCCATGCTGACGCGGAGAGGCGAAAGGAGAGTTAAGGGGAATTCGAAAAGGTCGAGCCCAGAAGCTTCGGGGCTCGACCGCTAGAGCTTGTACCTACACACACAAGTGTGTTACACAACAAAGTTGAGGGGATGTGGGAGGTCTCGGTAAGGGCCTTGGGGCGGACATGGGTGAAGGCCGGGCGGTGTCCGCGGAGATCGCTGTGGTGCGGGGGCGGATATTGTCTGCGGCCGAACTCCGGGCCGCGGTGACCTCGGAGAGGATGGCCGACAGGCGGACGAACTGGCCGACGTCATCACTGAACGTAGACAATTAACACGGTGAAGTCCACAGTCCGGAGGGTTGGTGGCAGCCGGGGCGGGACCGGACGGCGCCGATGGAAGCTGCCTGGTCGGACGGTGCGCAGGAGCCCGAATATCAACCCTCGCTGCTTTTGGGGTCCGGAGCGGCCGAAACACCACCAGTAGTGTCGGCGGATGCTTCACTGGCGCCCCGAGGACTCAGGAGTCGGGGCGGGAACAGCTGCGCAACGGGCCGGCAGCAGCAGTCCGGACATGCCGGCATCCGGGCCTTAGAGTCCACGACCGGGGGCGGCGAAGCCGGGTCGGGCCTGAGCAGAAATATTCCAAATGCGCGAAGGTAACGGAGCGGAGGAGTTCCAGGCAGAGGACAGGCCGGATCCGAACCCCTGACAGGCACAAGGAAACAACTGGCAAGCCAGAGGCGGAAGAATACCTGCCTCTGCGGAGACGGTGCGGACAGTCGCCTGTGAGATACAGACGAGCTGATGCTCAAGGGACCTCGCCCTCCGGCGGTCCCGCCTCCGTCGGCTGCGGGACGGGGGAGAGGAGTCAAAGAGGTTGGCATCAAGCCGTCGACAGCCTACAACAAGATTCCTTAGTGTACCGTTAGCGAATGGACCGGCACACTCGAGTCGAACGGCTGCGGCGATTACGACTTGACGTTGCGAGCTAGCGGATAAACACAATACGACCCGTCGAGAAACCAGCGTGCATTTCCTCAACAAGCCCTGGCTTGCCAACAGCCACCAACCAAGCTAGTCAAGTCCTTCATGGTTTTCTCCATATCTCTCATCTCGTCAACCACGGTGCTGAGCTCGTTCTGATGCAGGGCAAATGGAAGATGCCGTGGCAATCGCGTGTTGCTTCCAGACCTCGTAAGTTGCCATGATGGTCGTCGCATCCTGCACTCCGGAGACCATGCAACATGTGGAACGAACACTGTTTTTTCTGTCTCCTTGGAAATCACCAAGCCCTTTGCAGTTCTACACGTATCTGAGCTCCTCAATGTCTCGTTCCTTGTTCTGCTTGACCATGGCCGCCTCAGGGAGACAAAATCTTGAAGGCGGGTCGCCAGATTTCTCGCAGCTGCGAGGAGCAATGCTAGGACTCAAATTGCTTGTGCAGCCCTCCAGCATGGCACGACTGTTCATGCCGCTTCCAGGTTTGGCCAACGCCTTCCCCAATTTTTTTTGGCAGTACTGCTGGCGCTCCTCGGACGCCGTTGAGGCTTCTAATACGGTCATCAGACACGTCCACAAGCCAACCCTTTCCTCATCTGATGCTTGTTCCGTGTCCAGAACATCATGGAGCTCCTTGGTACTCTGTGGCTTTGGCTTTGCCCTTCCACAAACAGGGAATGATGCAACTTGGCCTACATGACAGCGGCAAATTCCGGTTGCATGCAGGAGCTCGTCAAGTTTTTGGATCGCGACTTCCAATCCTGGCCGACTCCCACCTGCAGCAACCAAGGCTCCGAGAGCAGCGAGAAAGCTGGGCACGGCAGTCCAAGTTGCGCAAAGCCATCTCGGCGTAGTCAGACTTCTGGCTGCGGGAGGCCTCGCAATCGTGCAGAGTACTTGTAGCCTTCAGGGCCTTCGCACCCAATCGAAGCAGTCTCGAAACGTGAGACTGCACGTCACTCGAGTCCACAACGAAAAAGCTCCCAACAGCCACGTAGCATGCAGTGCTCTAGTTCGCACCTCGTCTGCACTTCCAGCGCTCATCTGAAGGAGGCTGACCCAATTCCCTCGCTCCTTTTGGAATTCAGGGCTGAGCACACTTGCAGCATGCTTCGGCTGTCCATGCTATGCCGCAACGAAAGTGCAGTCACCAACGAATCTGCCTCCTTGGATTCGGACATGAATCGGGAAGAGATTGGTACTGCGGACATCCTGAGAGATTGTTGTCTTCCTGTCCGACACTTGCTGCTGTGCTCTGGGGCTGTTGCGGAGATTTCTGCATCAATGATGGTTTGTACATTGCTCCACGTACCGCACCTTGTACATCGTTCTTCTCTAAGAACTCCACCTCATGTCAGCAGACAATAGCATGCGCCCCACTGCTTTTCCAGCAAGCTCCGTCCGTCAACTCGTCCAAGCCACAGTTTCTGTCAAGGCCCGAAGCTCCTCTGCTTGAGCTGATTGATAAGCATTCCATGCCTGACCATGAATTTGCTACGCTCTGTCACCGTTGCCTTGACAAGTTTCTAATCCATGGACCTGCTGCTTTTCGTCGCATGTTTTCTTGAGATCGGCGAAAAAGGAAGAGCTCTCCTCAATTGCTATGACCACCATAAATAGCCTTCTTACATATTTCGGCGCGGGTTCGCTAAGCTGTTTGAGGCTGGGGGAAAGACTTTTTCACTGTCTGCTTTGTCCTGTCAGCTGCAAGCACTTGTCTTTTGAGACCGGCGGACCTACTCCGACACCAACATGCTGCTCCAACTCCTTGATATCATCCTTTACCGTTTGCATTTCCACCTTCAGCTCACCGAGCCGAAGCATCCTTGTTGTCAGACGGTAATCATCAAGTCATCAGGCAACACGTGAACTGAGAGCAGGGCTTCTCTTCCATGGCTTTTGTTGCTGCCTCACCTTCTTTTTGTTTAGCATCGAGCAGGCTCTCGTGCCTCGTCGGGAGCATGTGCCCTGTAGTTTGAGCTATATAGGCATAGAGCACCGGACTCCGAAATGCGCTGCTTCTCCAGATTCACCAACTCTTTGACGTTGTCGGAAATCTCCTTCAACATGTCCGCACCTGGTTCCCGTCTGACTCCAGTCACCTGCACGTCTCCTCCTTCATTTGCTTCAGCATGCCCAGAATGCGGCCGGTGGCATGCTGTTCTCCTTCAAAAGCATGAGCATCCAGAGTTGCAGCGCAGGTGCTGATCAGAAACGAAAAAGCTGTGCCTGACGATTCTGATGATAGAAAAGCAGATAACACATCACGGTGTTCGGTCGTCATGTCCTTGAGAGGCCAGCATGTTCGAGCAGAAACCCGGCAGACAGGCTGAAACATTCACAAATATGGGCCAACGACGGCCGAGACGGACAACCTGAGCACATCTCTGTTGAAATCGGCTGCGTAATAACATGAGGAAGGTCGTCGCACAAGCCTTCGCAGTACCGTAGCACGCTGCGTCTGCAGGAAGGCGCTGCCTTGGCCCTTTTCGATGGCCTCGATGGCCTTGGGCATGGCGTGACAAGAGCATGACCAGGCAGAGACATCCCTCAGCTCGCACTTCGGGCCGCAGCATCTTTCACAGAATCCAAGGTTTGCTTCTCGCTCGCCGATTCCTGCAACATGGCCCTGCTCAAACACACATACAAACCTCAAAGTAACGGGCTTGATTCGGAACCAGTCCTTCAAGTAAGCTTCGGACTCCTTGCATGCAGGTGGCAAACGTTGAAAGGCGCAGCGAACAAGCTTCCCAAAGCCTTCTTTCGCAAAGCTGATGCACTCTCCATTGTGCTTCTTGTTTCATCTCTATCCTGTGCATTCCATCATGGCAAAGTCCTAGATATTCTGGCAAAAACAATGCTCCTTCTTATGCTGGGCAACTTCGGATTCCAACGTTGCTTGTAAAGCTGCCACCTTGGACCCGGGACAAACAAGGTCGACATGCCGCGTGCAACCCACACACACGACTATCACGACTGGGTTGGCTAGAGCTGCTGGCTTCGCGGATGCGTGATCGCAATTGAGGAAGGCCGGTCTTCACCTTTGTGCAATCCAAACTTGGAAACATAAACAACTATGGACAAATCTTCGGCCTGATCCACTTGCGATGTCAGCTTTGCAAACGTAGATTTGCAATAGCACTGGTACCTGGACACACCGACATGGACAAAGGTTGATGCTGTGTCCACCGGTCACTGCAACGATGAGTTGCCCACTTGTCAAATATTTTGGATTTTTCGTCGCCCTCTGCTTGAACCTCCCACACCGACACGTGAGACTCCGTGAGACTGGATGCACGGTGTACAGCCTTAAGCGCAGAAATTATCAGGGAACCTTGTTTCGCATGGTCTCCAGCATGTCTATGATCTTGCGGATGGGATTGCCACCCGCCACCCTTGCCTCGCACCAGGCATTGTCGCAGCAACCGAACAAATTCAATCTGGACCTCTGCGTGCATGGCAACTGCCTGTGCGCGCATCGGGCCTCCAGATTTCCCACATGAACAGACATGATGTCAACCGACATACGTCGCCCAACCAAAAAAAATTTCAAGAATGGCACCTTCGACGGCCAGAATGGCTGCAAGCAAAGCTGCCACTGCCTGCCCGCACAAACAAACGAAGTGCACCGACACGGCAATCGCGAGTGCTGCCTGCCATCGCGACGTGGCATGTGGCCTCAGGCTGGGCAAACTTGAACAACCGGAGCCCGGACTCTCGTAACAGTGAGTCATGCTTGGGGCAATGCCATGCCGACGCCATGGCCTCCGCAACCGCCCCCGCAGGGGCAGTGCGTGCTACAATGATTGGCCCTTGAGTCAAGCGGCATGGGCTCTATTTTCCGAACGGCACACGAACAAACATGCCTTTGTGGCCAACATGAAGCACCACAGAACATCGGCGCACCATAAACACCCTCTGTGTTTTCTACACCATGCTTTGCATAAGTTTTGCATACATACGATTACGATGCCAAACCAAATCACCACATCGTTGACGTCGGAGTTGGTAGGTTCAGTGCTGAGCCAATTGATGTGGCGCGCCAGCGGGTGCGCCCGCATGTATCGAACCCGACGGCCAACGCCCGTGCTGCTCGCTGAACTCGAGGAAATGCGGGTTGGTGCAAACTGAAACACGGAAAGGTGCGTGCTTTTTGTGTGTCTGGAAATCCTGCAGTGAAGGAGTGTTTCGCATCTAGTTACGCAGTTGGAGCTGTAGCATCGACAAAGCATGACAAAGCAGGGAGCTAGCTATCTGTCCAAATGTCAGCCCAACGAAAAAGCTGCCAAGTTTCACACTCTGCTGAGCTTATAAACTGAGCTTTGAAACCGTCTACAATAAACACTTCGTTATGCAGCTAAGGCATAACAAAAAAGAAGGTCCCTTGAAAGCGACAAGGACAAATCGAAAAACTGTTCCAACCGGCACCTCCATCTGTGTGATTCGGCTGATAATTCTGCCTTAGGGCCAATCGTGATGTTCTGTTCTTAGGACAGACCAATCTCCAGACCTGGATTTTCGGAGAAAGCTTTCTGCACCCCATTTTTCGCAACCAGAAGTCACCACTTCTCAAAATCCTTGGGTGCTTTTGGACTAGTTGCCAGAAGCCATCCGATTTGCCATGTTTCCCTGAAGTCACGGATACGTCTGTTTATGGATTCCTCCAAACCTATCGATCAACCAAAAGTTACCACAAGGATCGATCACCTAGAGGTCACCCCAGAAGTTGATCCAGCACTAAGAAGACAACCTTCGCCACCCAGATGACACCCTTCGTTCGTACCGTTGAAGCTGAAGCCTTCACCATCATTCGTCTATATGCGATATGAAATTTTAGTAGACCATTTGATTTTGCCACCCTGAAGCTACCCTTCGTGCACGTTCACGTTTCCAGATTCCAGATATCCAGAAATCTGGCATCTGGAAACATAGATCGTGCAAATCTGGAAATCTGGAGTCTGGAATCTGGATTCCAGATTCCAGATTTCCAGATTTGCAGGACCTATGTTTCCAGATTCCGGATTTCCAGATTTGCAGGACCTATGTTTCCGGATTCCAGGTTTTCCAGATTCCAGATTTCCAGAAATCTGGAATCTGGAAACATAGGTCGTGCAAATCTGGAAATCTGGAATCTGGAAACCTAGGTCGTGCAAATCTGGAAATCTGGAATCTGGAAACCTAGGTCCTGCAAATCTGGAATCTGGAATCTCTGGAAGCTTAGGGCGTGCA